ACAGTTGTCAAGAAGAGGAACACAACACAGAGATAGGTACTAGGGGACATGAAGAAGGGTCTCCCGGGGGGGTGGAAGGGTATAGCTCAGTGGTAGAGCACATGCCTAACATGCAAGAGGTCCTGGGCAACTACACTAAAAATAAATAAATAAATAAACCTAACCCCCCCCTAAAAAAAGAATAACAAAAATAATTTTTTTTTTTAAGAAAAAGGTCTTCCAACTTGTTAGGTAAACGACATGATTTGAATGCAGTCTAGCTTCTGGGCCCATATTTTCAACCACTGGACTATAAGGCCTTGATGTGCTTGTAAGCATCTGGTAGTGACAGTAGCAGAAGTAGAACCTAGAGAGGGAAATTCAAGCTCACCCAGCAAGTCAGAGGCACGGCTAAGAAGACAGTCTATGTCTTCTGACCTGATGCCCCAGCCACTGTGCTGCAGGTGTAACTATTCTAAGAGGGCTTTGTCAAAAGTAATCGGGGAGTCAGGTAGTCAGCTTCCCCTTCATTAGAGTGAGGCCTGAGTCTTTAGGGAGCTTTTAGACATTAACAATACCAATGCCTTTCGTCCTGAAGTATTGCTTGGATGGCTTCCCTCATGTGTCTTCCAAACCATGTGCTTGGAGTTGCCTGAGGATGAATGTCACCAGCTGCTTACTCACCCACTGCCACCATCCAGGTTCTCAGTCCTCCAACATACCCACCTTTAAGACTATATTGACCAAGAGTGGGTGGTTGAGGAGCGACTTCTCATTTAAGACATTGTTCACGTTTTCACGTTTGTTTCTTAAATGGCTTTGTTGAAGCCCCTCAGTGGGGACAGAAGGCCTCTTCCTTTGTCCTCCAGGAATTGATAGAGTTTCTAAAACTCACAGGTAACTTTCTGTCATTCAATTTCTGTTTGTTTCTAAAATAGAGATAAGTAGTCACGTGGACACTGAAGTAATCACATGCATCTTTCCTTTCCATCATTACCCACAGATGCTGTTCTATAATTTCTTCTTTGTTTGATTCTATTCCCATCACATACCCACTATAAAGGAATTTAAAAAGGGAGCCAAAACAAAAATGTGTTTAGAACTTTAAAGTGTACGTCATGCCGTATGATTTCAAATCGAGTTTTTGCAGCTCCAAGGCTATCTCTAGCTATCACAGGGAATGATCTTAATTATAAACGTCTCAGAAAACTAATTTTAATTCTTTTTAGTTCAAAAATAGATACACCCATGTATTTCTAAGGGAGAATGGGACATGTCACGAACTTAAGAACATGTGTCTGTGGGTGTAATTATGAAAAGACTAGGAATGAGTGTAAAGCATGTGGGTGTCTGCTTTGTGGTTCAGTTCCTTGGCTCTGGTGTTGGGCTCTAGGGAAGCATACATATCTAAAAATGTGCAAATGGGAAGAGTTCAAGGAACATGACTGGCTCTGCTGCATCCAGACTCTAGTCTGGACAAGTATCGGAGTGACTCCAGTATGGAGAATGAAGAAGGCATATAAAAAGCAGAAGGCAGGTGCTTTGGAGAGTGGACCTGTTTGGATCAGGAGGGTGTGAGATGAGAGATAGTTGGAGACATGAGATAATTTACCACCAAGAACTGACGTGTCAGGAGCTAAAACCACCTGAACCACAAGTGGTAATAATCCTTTTTAAAAATAGCCCCAATATAAAATGCTCAATCAGATAAAAAAAACAAAAAACCCAAACACCACTTCCGAATCAATAAGAGTTAAGGTACAGAAACTGTAGAGAAACAGAAAAACTGAAACCCAACCTGTGTTTATGAGTAACTCCTTTTCTTGGTCTTCTGCTAAGTTAAGAATTGGCAAATTCCTGCCTGCTGGCCAGGAACCACCACTGCCTGTTTTTGTTTGGCCTTTGAGCTAAGGATGATTTTTACATTTTTAAATGGTTAAAAAAAAAATCAAAAGAAGAGTATTTTGTGAAAATGACAGGAAGTTCAAATCTCAGTGTTCATAAATAAAGTTTTATTGGCACACAGCCACTCTCACGCAGTTATGTATCGTTTATGGTTGATTTCCAGCTAGGATAGCAGATGTGAGTCATAGCACAGAGATTATATGGCCCTCAAAGCCTAAAATATTTACTAGTGGCTCTTTTCAGAAAAAGTTTACCTGCTCTAAGGCAATTCTTGCAAAGTAGGCAGTGAGTAGCTATTACCCAAGAAATGACTTCTGTAGACAAATAAATTGGGAAATACTATTTTAATAAAATCAAACCAGTTTCCTTAACAAGCTAATGTAACAAGGAAATCTACCAAAAAAGATTGGGGGAGGAGGGAAGCAGAATATTTGGTGTTTCCCAAACTTATTGGCCATGGAATCCCTTCCTTCCTTCCTTCCTTCCTTACTTACTTACTTACTTACTTCCTTCCTTCCTTCCTTCCTTCCTCTCTCCTTCCTTCCTCTCTTCTTTCTTCTTTCTTTCTTTCT